ACAGAGAGGTGGTTCTTTAAAGCAGCAACAGGGCAAAGGATGTCGTTTCGTGCAGTAAGGATAACGGAAGCACCAAGCTCCTTCGTTGTCTTAGTCCAAGGAATACGAAAGCTTGCAGAGGATGAGCCATCTCGCAGCGTACGAAAGGTAATCCTGCAGAAAGGTAAGAAATATATAAGATATACAAGGTGCCAAAAAAACGCACATGACAGAGCGAAGAACATGATATCGTTCATCAAAGGCAGCGGCAGTGGTGACAGCTAGCTCGCCTAGTCGTCGACAGCCGAAAAATGTGCACAAGGCGAGAGCCCACACTGCTGCATGGAAAGGGGTGGAAAGGTTGAGGACACGATGAAGGGCTAGCAAGTGCTCAATGGAAACAGGAGCACGAAGGGGGCGTTTGTGCTTTATCCCCTCCTTGTTCGCGGATACACGAGCCAACTGGACCCATTCGTCATCGCCAAACCAAGGCGCATGATTGACAACGTGCCATGCACGGATGCCAGAGAGCCAGGAACGGATGGTGTTCCCAGCTTGCCTGCCCTTATGTTCCCCAATGAAGGCGCAAAGGAGGGGATAAGAGGCAGGCATCCGCGCTTCCTCATCAATACCCCATGTATCACAGAATTGCGTGAAGCGCAGGGTACCAGCAGCATATGTAGTTTTTGTGTTGGGCGCATAGGCGCCACGGATGGACATCATGGCAGTATTAACCAAGTCTGGTGGAAGTGAGGCTATCAGGTGCCGTCTGTGACGAACAGCATGAGGCGTGTCCCAAGTGAAGAGACGATCCGCAGCGGAAACGTGAGGGCGTAGAGGGCTTTGAGAAATGTGGCGTCCAACTTGAGGTTGTCTTGGTTTGATAGGTCGGCTGGCAGGAGTTGGGTCAATAGGAAGAGTAGCTGCGGCAGATGGAGAGATGTGTAATGGCGTGGAGGTGGTGACAGATGGGGCAAGAGATGTGGTAGTACAAGAGACGGGAGATGTGATAGTACGAGATTTGAATGGATGGGAAAGAATATGACAAGGTGTAGGGCGCGGAGGAACATGACATGAACCACCTACAACTGTCTTGACGACACGTGTCGCCGGTTTAAAAGGATAATCTAGGCTGAATAAAAATGTCAGAAATCAGAAAAGGAGGAGGTTCCAATTGTGGAAGCGAACCTAGGCATGAATAAAACAGGTAGATAGCTCATCAGGGAGCTTAAAAGATGGGAAGATTTGCTTCCCAGCAGGCCCTGGTTCTCCGCGCGAGATAGGGTCAGCTGGATTAGCGTGAGACTCAATATAGATAGTTTTAAAGGCAAGGGATGTGGCCATGAGGACAATGTGTGTGCGACGAACTGCGAGATTGAGATAAATGTTGCCACTGCGACCTTTATCAAGAGCACCAATGGTGCCTTGATTGTCAGAATGTACAAGGAGATGAACATCTCGAAGGCCTCTAGACTCCAGAAAAAGGGCAAGAAGTTCAATGGCGACAGTTTCAAGCCAACAAATATCTCGGCCTTCAATCTTCCAAGAAGACGAAAGCTGGAAAGCAGCCCATTCACCGCTGATGATAATACCAATCCCCCATGATGTGGAGGCGTCAACATACAACCCAAGATCTGATAGAGGACCAAGAGGTCGAAGGGATCAATGTATCCCCGGCAAAGTGAGCTTAACCAACCACCACTTCAAGTCAGTGATCAGTGAATGGGGAGGATATTTTGTCAAGAATTCATCACCATGAAAGGTAGACGCAAAATTGGAGAGAGAAGGGAGATGAGAGCGTCCATCGAGATACACAAAGGCGATATGACAAAGAGATCCATGAATCTTTTCAACATCGCGCAAATGGCAAGGTCGACCTTCGAAATCTGTAAGGAATTGGAGAACACGTTGGTGGAACTTATTCCTCTTCCCTTCTGGCAGGCTGACACGCTTCCGAGGGATGTCCCAGAGAAATCCAATAAAGGTTGTGACAAAGGAAAAGCGTTCATCACCCTTTTCATCATGCCAAGGCACTCCCAAAGAAGAGATGCGGCGAAGCATCTCCGTTCGGTCATAATCATAACGAAAATCTCCATCAACAAAAACGCCCGAAGCGGAAGGGAATCGGAAAGCTTTCAAATCGTCTTCGTATTTAGGTACCGGGAAGACCCCTTCAGCTCTCCAGATATCAACGACAGCATTTGCGATCATGCCAGCATTACTGCTGGCGCAGGCAGCTCCGAACGGGTGATCATGATTGATGAAGAAATCATCCGATGTCCCTTGGACGACCAGCCAAGGTTTGG